GTTCGAATCCACCAGCTGCTCCTTAGAAACCCATGAGGCAGTTCTACTCTATCCTATGGGGTCTCTATGAGATGGAATCAGCTTGATGGCAATGGGTTTGGTTTTTAGGTTTATAGTAGTGTTGAGGCCACCTGGGTGGCTCAATCAAGTAAGCACTTGGCTACTGTCATGGTTTGAATTATGTCCCCCAAAATATGTGTGTATCAATTTGGCTGGGCCATGATTCCCAGAATTGTGTGGTTGGCCTCCATTTTGTGACTGTAATTTTATGCTAAAGAGGATTAGGGTGGGATCCTAACACCACCCTTACCCAGGTCACATCCTTGATCCAATGTAAAGGGAGTTTCCCTGGGGTGTGGCCTGCACCACCTTTTATCTCTCAAGAGATAAAAGGAGAGGGAAGCAAGCAGAGAGTTGGGGACCTCATACCACCAAGAAAGCAGTGCCAGGAGCAGAGTGTGTCCTTTGGACCCGGGGTCCCTGTGCAGAGAAGCTCTTAGTCCCAGGAACACTGATGAGAACAAGGCCGACAGAGAGAAAGCCTTCCCCTGGAGCTGATGCCCTGAATTTGGACTTGTAGCCTACTTTACTGTGAGGAAATAAACTTCTCTTTGTTAAAGCCATCCACTTGTGGTATTTCTGTTAGAGTAGCACTAGGTGACTAAGACAGCTACTAACTGAAATGCTGGCAGTTTGAACCCACCTAGAGGTGCCTTGGAAGAAAGGCCTGGAGATCTACTTCCAAAAGGTCACAGCCACTGAAATCCCTACGGAGCACAGTTCTACTCTGATGCACATGGGGTTGCTGTGAGTCAGAGTCAGTGGCAACTGGTTTGGTTTTTTGGTTTATAGCAGTGTTGTACCCCCACCCCCACTCCTTTATAATGTGGCCACGTGGTTTTCTTTGACCAATGAAACAAGAACAGAAGTGAGTTGTGACACTTTCAGGTGCAAGCTTTAAAGGCTATTACATGACTTACCACATTTCCTTTTACTGTCTCTGCCCTTGTAGCAGCACAAATTGAGATCCAGCCTGTCACCCTAGATCCCTGAGTGACTACCATGAATAAAGTCCCTGTCACCCCCCAACAACCTGTATCGGATGTGTGCTATGCAAGAGAAATAAACTTTTGTTGTTTTATGTCACTGAAATGTGGGGATTGTTATACTGCAGGGTAAACTTACCCTACTTATCCTGACCCTTTTTATACAAATGGTAGCAAATCTTATACCCATTCTGCACCTGGCTTTTTTAAATTTAACAATGTATCTTGGAGATCATTTATATCAGTAGGAGAAGAGCTCCCTCCCCCACTTTTTTTTTTTTTAAAAACAAACCAAAAAAAAAGAAAACACCAGTTGCTGTGGATTCGATTCTGACTCATGGCAACTCCTTGTACGTCATAGTAGAACTGTGGTTCATAAAGTTTTCCGTGGCTGATTTTTTTCAGAAGTAGATGGCCAGGCCTTTCTTCTGAGATGCCTCTGGATAGACTCCACCCATCAACCTTTTGTTTACACCACTCAGGGACTCCCTTGTTTTAAACAGCTACCTAGTATTCCTGTGTAAGAAAGGACCAAATTTTATTACCCAGTCCCTAATAAGGACGATTCGTATGTTCCACCTTTTCAGACAATGCTGCAATGAACATTTGAACATTTCTTATTTTGCTGGAGTGCAATTATAGGATAAATTTCTAGAAGTGCATATCTCAGATGGTTGGTGGCCCATTTCTCTTTTAAAAAAGACCACTTTGGCTGTGGGTGGAGAACGGACTGAAGAGTCAGACCTGAGAGTTGTGCATGACACCTTCCTCTTGTCACCCCAGATCAATGGCCACATCCTGCTCATTCCAGGTCCATGATAGCTCCCACCCTGTCCACGTGAAAGCACAGCCTGACTACTGCCCCAGCAAGGGCAGAGCCATTCCTCTCTCTGAGGGTTCTTCCTAAAACATCTGCCTGTCTTAATCAGGACCCGTTGCTGTCAAGTCAGCAACCCTATAGGGCAGAGTAAAACTGCCCCATACAGTTTCCAAGGAGCGTTCAGAAGATTCAAACTGCTGGCTTTTTGGTTAGCAGCTGTAGTTCTTAACCACCAAGCCACCAGGGTTTCCTTTAGTCAGGACACTTGGTTGCAAATAACAAAGCCAGTTCTGGGTTAGTTAGACCAACAAAGAACTGATTGGACAGCTTCTGGGATGCTTGCTGAATACCCCTCTCTAGGAAGGGCCTGGTTTGATTGGCCAATTTGACTGCCTCCCAATCTGCTGCCTCCACAATGAATTCTAAACGGTGCCCTCGATGTCTTGTGTTGATCACTTGCTCTGGATTCAAAGACCTGTTTGGAAACACTGGAAAAGTGCTCCAGCTACCAGGGACCTGGGAGAGGAAATACTGCCGTCCCTCTGCGATGGCCCTAGTGGAAGGCAGAGGTCTCTGCATCTCATCTCATAGGAGACCTCCCAAACGGGAGGGGTTGTCACATGTGGTGACAAAACAACAGGTCAAAACAAGTCAGACTTAGTGCCTTTTCCCCCACCCCCAACACTCTCCCCTAGCCTGTCCTCCACAGTGCAGCCGCAGAGCCCCCCCGTCCAAGCAAATCTGGCCCCCCACTACCCTCAAAATGAAGTCCAAACTGCTTGCCTGGCTTCCAAGGACCTCTCTGATCCAGGCCCCCGCTAAGGCCTCAGCCTCATTTCTCAACCCCAATCCCAACCCCAACTTGCACCTTAAACTCTAGACTGATGGTCTGACCTCAGGTGGTGAATGCATGAGCCCTTCCCTCCTTCCTCTACAGAGCTTTGTCCAGAAGGTCCTTTCCCTCCCTCTCCTAATCTCTGAAACTGAAACTGGCACATTCCCACTTAACTGTCAGGTCTCACCTTGGACGTAACAGCGTTCACTGACTCTCACCCCTACCTCAGGCTAGGTGAGGTACTGACTCTTTGTTCCACTGGCCACTGGGTTTCCCTCTTTCAAGGTACTTATCTTTACTCCCAAATGTATCCTAGATCCACCCACTTTTCTCCATCTCCACTGCCACCATCTTAGTTCCCAGCCAAGGTCATCTCTCTCCTGGAATTCTTCTGTAGCCTCCCAACTGCTCTTTCTGCTAACACTCTTGCCCCCCTAAAGGTCCACCAGCCAAAGTGATCTTTTAAAAGTATAAATTATCCTTTCAAAGGCTTTACATTTCACTTAGGGGGAAAAAACAAAAAATAAAACAACTCCTTGTTATGGTCTACAAGGAGTCCCTAGATGCTGCAAACGGTTAATGCACTCAGTTGCTAACTGAAAGGTTAGAGGTTCAAGTCCACCCAAAGGTGCCTAGGAAGAAACGCCTGACAATTTACTTCTGAAAAATCAGCCATGGAAAACTAGAAAACTGTAAGGAGCACAGTTCTACTCTGACACACATGGGGCTGCCATGAGTCAGAATTGACTCGTAGGCAATTGGTTTGGGTTTTTTTTTTTGGTTTATGGGCTACAAAGCATTCTATGATCTAGTGCTCTTGCGCCTTGTGTCTCATCTCATACCACTGGACCAGGACTTCTTCCTGTTCATTGAATGCACCAAACTTATTCTAGGCGTTGAGCCTTTGCATTTGCTGTTTCCTCTGCCTAGAATTCTGTTTCCCCAGAATTTTGCATGACTGGGTTCTTTCCATCATTCAGGTCTCTGCTCAAATGTTACACTCTGAGCCCATTCTCTCTCACTCTTTATTTCATTGTATTAATAGCACTTATCGCTGTCTGAAGCCATCTTCTTTTTTATCTACAGGATTATTATCTTTAATCCCCTTGTAGCACGCACGGAAGGAGCCTGGCTATCTTGCGGACACCACTGTAATCCCAGCAGCTGGCTAGATGCCTGGCAAAAAGCGAGTGTTCTGTAGGTATTTCGGGATGAACGAACGAACAAGGATCAGAGAAGGCTGGCTCTACCTTACTTGCTTAGTTTGGATAAGCCTCTGTTTCCTGCTTTGTGAAGTTGGGGTGGAGGGAGTGGGGTTGAGCAAAAAGTTGTTGATTAGCTGTAAAATTTCTGCCTTGTTTTCCTCCTAGTCTTCAGCTTCGAGCCAGCCACTTGACCTTCAGCGCCTTGGCTCCCTACCTGTATAATGGGCGTGAGCTCATCCCAAAGTCTAGGGGTGATAGTGCGGCCTTATAAGGCAGGAGAGGCCAAGGGCAGGCGAGGCCGTGAGGGTGGAGAGAAATCACAACATCCGGCTGTGGGGGCGAGGCGGGGGCGCCGAGGCGGCCCGGCTGGAGGCCTGGCAGCCTCTGCAGAGCCGCGGAGGTTCTGGGGAGGCCGCCAGCCTCCTCCGGGACGCTCCTCGCTCCCGATGCGCGCCCTCCAGGATCGGCCGGCCCAAGGGAATACGGCCCGCAAGACAGCAGGGATACCGAGCGCGTCCCCAACAAAACCCTGAAAAGGTAGTAGATGAGCCAAAGGCGCCCGGGCCTCCCCACATGACCACACCCCCCCAACTGATAGTCCAATCAAAATGCACTTCTGGGAATGACCGACGCTTCCTCTATCCAATCAACCATTTGGTCTCCTGGGCGTGACCCAGAGGACCCCGCTTCCGCTGTTTCCGCAGAGAACTCGCCCCTAATTGGCAGTTCTGTATCCTACGAAGGCCCAGAAATTCGAACCTAGGGGCTGAAACCCGCCCGAAGACCAACCAGGGAGTGGGGACGTAACTAGTCCCTCCCCTCGTTCCCTTGAGCGAATCCTTGACTCAGGGGGCGGGGAAATGATAAAAAAAAAAGGCAATCCAATGGGAAAACGGCGCGGGGAGCACCCGCCCGCTTATTGGCAGAATAAAGTAAACAGAGGGCGGGGAGAGGCGGGCCCGGCGCCGGGGTGGCTCCCGGGAGGGGG